CCCCCCCGAGACCCACTGCTCCACTACCAGTGAAGTCCCTTTTCCCTCCTTTTCTGCCCACCCCTGGCGCTGAGAGACTGGCCAGGCTGAGAGGAACCGGTTCTCCCCTGTGCCAAAGGCGGGGGCAAATCTCGGTGCCCCCTCCCCCCAGGTGAGTGTGGCCCACTGAAACGGCTAGATGAGAAAGGGCGACAGGGGCAAGGGCCAGCTTGACCCTGCGGGTGAGGACTGACGCCTCCACCCAGAAGCGCCCAGAGGTCAAGGGCTCCGCCCGGAGAGGGTCCGCTGTGCGCCCAGATGGCTCCGCGGCCACCTCTTTGAACGCGACCAGCGCATTCTGGGTCACACAGCTCAAGAGAACCCTGGGCTTGATTCTCCCCATGGCGCAGATCGTAACCAGAGTGACCCTGGGGGACTGGGTCTTCCCGGCACAAGCCAGGCAGGGGGGCGACGGACCCATCGACAGAGGAAGAGCAGAGCTCAGCCCTCAGCCCGCAGCTGGCCTGCATCAGCCACCTCGGGAGACACACCGCAGCTGCCTCTGCCAGGGCTGCTGACGGACAAAAAGAAGGTTCTGCAGAGCTGGGGGCGAGGGGAGTTGGCCCGCTGCACCCCAGGTCCCCGCCTGAGCTCCTTCCGATGCTCCTTGGCCTCAAGCCATGCGCCATTAAAAGCCTCATCCCTGAGGCCTGGTCCCCAGTCAGCCTTATCTTCTGACTGGGCCTTCTTGATGCCAAGCTGCTGCCAAGCCCCAGACTGCTCCCCAATTCCTGCAGCTGCTTGGGGACCCAAAAAATCCTCAGGAGCATTTCTACTCTCTTTCCCTCTCAGCCCACACCTCTCCCTGGGTCACTCCTTAAAAATGCCCTTTCACCCGCAAACCCCTTGAGAACAGCCTCAGTGTGGCATGCTTGAGTGGGCCGTGGAGTCCCAGAAGACATGGGGGGGGAGCCCAATTAAGAGAGATATAATTCATCCCAAATCTCAAGATATATGCTGGTGTACAGGCAGGCACAAAGGGGTGGAAAAAGCCTGGGTTCTGACAGAGAGAGGGTTTCCTGGAGGAAGTGATACTTGGGCCTTGAAAGAACAGCTGAGTATGGGGTGAGGGAGAGGCATTCCAGGCATGAGGCCTGAAACATGGGACGCTTTGGGAATCATGGAGATTCTGTCAGGCTGATTGTTCTGCTATGTCCCCACCCTGGTCCTCATTGTCCGCCCATCACACCTGACGGCTCTTCCTTGCTTTCTGCAGTCTCTCCACCTGTGCTTTTCTCATGGCCTACAAGCTTCATCTGTGTGGAGGGAAGAAGGCCAGGTCTACTGTGCACTGGCCACTATGCTCAGGCCCCTCACACCGCACCCACCTCCACCCCCGGCCACCCCAGTCTCAGGCTCTCTTAGCCAGTTCACACCATCTTCACTGTACTCCTCCCTAGGTCTTCTGCCACCCCGTCTCTATCCCTGGAAGCTTCAGGCCTTCAGCCCTCGCCAGCGATACATAATGACCCCTTTGAATTCACTGGAGTCAGACTTAGGCCCGTTGAAGACTTGGGCTTTAAGCATGAGTTCTGGGGGCGCCTGGATGGCTCAGTTGGTTAAGCGACTGCCTTCGGCTCGGGTCATGCTGCTGGAGTCCCGGGATCGAGTCCCGCATCGGGCTCCCTGCTCGGCAGGGAGTCTGCTTCTCCCTCTGACCCGCCCCCCTCTCATGTGCTCTCTCTCATTCTCTCTCTCTCAAATAAATAAATAAAATCTTAAAAAAAAAAAAAAAAGCATGAGTTCTGGCAACATTTCTGCTGCCTGCTCCATCCCACTCGTCCCAGGTTCAGCCACAGCCCATTAGCTCCCTTCAGGACCTCGCTGCTTCCTCCTCCATCTGTCATTGTCCCAGTCAGGCAAGTTTCTGACTATCCTACTGAGAGGCCACAGAACAGAGAGCCTGGCTGAGTGTACTTCCAGAGCCCAAGGCTCATGGCTGGGCTCATACAGACAAGGAACGTTCACTGAATTAATCAAGTGAATTAATAGCCTTGCTGCTTCCCTCTTGTTACCTGAAGCTGCCTTTGCTCTCCTGGACACCAGTTCCCTCCCCTCACCCTGGCTTCACCTAATCCAGGGACCTGAAGGCCTACCGAATCCTATATGGACAACCATGTCTCCAACTCAACACCCTTGTGTTCCCTGTGTCCTAGCCCCCCATTTTTTTTTTTTTTTTTTTTTAAGATTCCTCCTATAAAGCAATTCTTTGGAACTTTCTTTAACATATCACTTTTTTTCAGTCCTGCAGTGGCCACTGTCTAACCCTAGCCCTACCCTCACCACTCCTGAATTAGGACACCTCCACTCAAGCCTGCAGCATATGCTACAACATTCAAGTACAGTGAGAACTCCCCTCCAGAAAGCCTTCCCTTCACCAAAAAAAAAAAAAAAAAAAAGAAAGAAAGAAAAAAGAAAAAGCTGGTATGGGTAACCTGGTTCCACTTAGCTCACCTTCTGAGTTTTATATGTGTAGGGTCCTCTACCCCTCTCCTTTGGCAATTCACTGAGGGACCACGGACATAGAGAGGCCCTCCTTCATGATGAAACTCAGAGGATTTCTGAGGGAAGCAGAACACAGAACAAAGCATGAGTATGTGGAAGGAAGAAAGGAAGAAAACAGATGCTTTTTTAAAGTTTTTATTTCAAAAAATAAAGCCGCAGTTAATTTCACATAAATATCTGGGGAGGGAAGGGGACAGGGATGTGGTGGGGGCTTGGCCCCTACCTCCTCTTCTCTTTCACACTGTATTGTAAAAGCAAAGGGGATGGCTAAGGAGAGAACAAGGAGAAGAAGCAGTCAGTGGGCGCGTTCTTACCCAAAATGCCCCCTCAGCCCATTGCTGCCCTGGGGACTGCCTTGGCTCTGGCTTACCTTGCCGAACCAGCGGGAGAGCCATATCTGCTTCATAGTCATGTGATCTGGGAGAACTTCATTGTCAAAAAGGAGCTGTACCTAGGAGGGAGATGGGGGCACAGCTTTAGGAACTGCTCTCTCATGTAGATCAAGAACTACCTTGGTCTACTACAGACTCTGTCCCTCCCTTTCAACCCCTCCCTTCCCCAAAAACCTATTGTGGGAATACTCACATGCTGGGGATTTAGCATTAAGCGGTGACACAGGACCCTCCGGAGGTGACGAACTTCAGCTCTAACAGAACATCGGACATATTTGTTCTGGGGATAGGGATGGAAGGCAAAAGGACAAGGTGTGTGAGGGAAGGGCCACAGGGAGGTGAGTCTCCTTAGAGAGGCCCTCCCCTCAGCCCCTCTCACCTGCAGGATGCTTTTATTCTTGTCTTTGCCAGAACTGGGGGAAACAGACACAAGTTAGGGAGTCTGATCTTTTCCTGTCCCCCACCCAGAGCTATGGTATACTCTTTTCAAGGGAACAAACACTCCCTCACTGCTCGCCCTCTCACCAAGCCCCTCCCTGGTTCTGAGTCACTCACACTGTTACTTCAGACAGTTCATGACCTGTTCCTTACCTCAGCCGTTCCAGGCATAGGCTCAGCTGCTCATCATAGCGATAGTAGTGGGCTTTCGAGTGGTCGAAGCTGCTGAAAGGGAGGCCGAGGTTGCTCAGGGCTGGCTCTAAGAAAGAGTAGTGAGGAGAGTGGCACAGATTCCATAGTCCTTTTTCCCCAGAGAGCAAAACTGGGCAAGAGTGATGTTCTGGGGGCTTTATCTTACCCTCCTGCTGCCAAGGGACATACCTTCCCCACTGGGTTGGGTGACCCGGTCCAAGCCTCGGGACTGGTAGAATTCTCGAATCCGTTTCTCTTCACCTAGAAGGGAGGGGAGTGTGGGAAATAAAGAATTACCCCTTCCTCGTACTTTGTCCCCGTGACTGTCAACTTCTTTACCTATGTGATTCCCACGAAAGCCCTTGTCATCTCAAGTCACCACTCAGCATCAGCCCTCTAGAGGCCCCTCAAAGTTGGGTTGGTCACTCACTGTCTTGTAAGCCAGGCACTAGCTTGTACACGATGTCCTGCATGACCCGGTCCAGTTTGAGGTTGAGCAGTGGCTGTGTCTCGTGGATCTTGATGTTGCACATGGGGCAGTACTTACTGGTTTGGAGGTACTTCACAATACAACTCTTGCAGACTGCAGGAAGAAAAAAGTAGACTCTCAGGCCCTCTGGGAATCGGGTTCATGGGCTAGGTGGGGTGCCTGGGTGGTTGGGGCAGGCAGCCAGCAGTCCGGCAACCAGCTTGGTGGGGGCTAGGGCCTGGAAGAACCAGCCAGGGTCCAGGGCACTCACAAGTATGAAGACACTCTGTGATGGTGGTAGCATCCACGAAGTAGCCAGCGCACAGGCAGCAGACGATGTGCTCATTCAGGTCTTTGATCTTTACTCGGACCTCCTCCTGCGGACCCACTCTCCGTCACCGATCACCCCCTCCAACCCCAAATCATACGCCTTCCCAGCTCGGGTGATACCTTTCAACACATCCCACGGCCAAGTCTCGCACCTTGCGCGGTCCTCAGGGGATTAGCTCGCGGGAGCTGACACTCCCCCTCCGCCCAGCAGGGGGCTCCGCGCACAGCGGGGGCTCCCTTCACGTGGACTCGCCCGACCTTCCTTTCCCAGGGGAGACTACACGACGTGGGCGGCACAATGCGCAAGCGTCCTAGCTCGGAGTTTGGCAACCCGACCGCAATCGCGCAGGCGCATTGGGCACCCTGTCTCTGCGCAGGCGCATTGGGCGCCGGGCCAGCCACCGCCCGTCCTCTAGCCGGCCCCAGTTCGCACCGCTAGCCGACCACAGCAGTAACCCTGCCGCCCCTGCACCTCGTTCCGTAGTGGGTCCATCTTGTACACTGACTGGAGCTGGTTCCGAAGCCTCATCGCGATCGCAATCTGGCCCCCCTGAGGAGACGCCATCTTAAAGGCTGATCCCGGCCGGCCACTTCCGGTGCCGCCTGCGGGGCGGGACTTGTCGCCCAGCAACGAGGGCTTAGGTCTTTTCGGATTCGCTGACCCTCTGTAAGGCCCCGCCCATGTCCCTTTCTCCCCGTGTGCTCACCTGAGCCCCACTGGCCCCTCCCCCTCCTCAATCCGTAATTAGGGAGGGGGGGTTGTGAGGAGGGGGTCCTATCTCATTGACCTCTTGTAGTAATCATCACAATAGACCCTACCCTACCGCGGGACTAACTTTTGGAGCCTGCAAAAGACTGCCCCCTTCTACCCCAAAGGGCCCAGAGGTCTCCGCCTGCCGCTGCCCAGGGTCGTCGATCTCCTGTGACCACGACCCCGCTAAAGAAGCCCCTCCCGGGTCCTTTCCTCGTAATGTCGCTCTCGTCAGCTGACGCGTCTGCGTTACGGAGCTTCATCCGGATGGCAGGCCTTCTCCCGGCTCCACGGCGGGAGTTTCTCGGGGCTTTGCGGAGTCTCGGAGAGGGTGGCGGGGAGGGAGGGACCCCCAGGGACTTGGTGTAGTGATCTTATTCGCCCCCCCTCCCATCCTCCCCTGCCGCCGGGGCTTGTGGAGGGCGGGGGGCAGACCCTGGTTAATGATGATGATTCAATCATCGGCGCCTGCGGAGGCCTGGGACAGACTAATGCAGAGCAGATGCCGAAGGAGGAGGGGAGGAGGATTGGGACACTACCGCACATAGACGCGCCGAAGCAGCCAGCGCCCGCAGTAGCATAGGCCCAGCCCCGTACTTGGGAAGGTCGCAGGAGCTCTAGACCTTGTACACCGCCATCCCTAGGTACTTCCAGGGGGATTAAAAACCAAGGATAAGTTTACTGTGAAGTATTAACATCAAGTGTAGTTGGAGACTCAAGGGAGAGATCCCATTGGAGGCCACCAAAGGCTTTCTGGAAGAAGTGGGACTTTGTGTGGGCACAATTTAGAGAATGGGGATGGGGTGCATGGACAAGAAGTGTGGTGGAAATAGAAAAGAAAGGCAGAGTGGAGGCGAATGACCAGAGAGATGGACAGGAAGAAGGCCAAGGTGTGGATTTGAGAGTAGTGATAGAAGCAGGGCCTCAGGGAGCTGGGACTTTAGCCTGAGGGCAATAGGGAGCTAGCAGACTTTTTTTTTTTTTAAGGGAGGGAGTTACCCTATGAAAGAAACATTTTTGCTCATTTATCTTTGAATAATTGGAGTGGATAAGCAGCAAGAAGTTATGAGATTAGTGATTTTTAAATCAACCCCTTCTCACTACAGCCACTGCTTACCTCCCTGGTCCAAGATACCATCATTGGTTCTCTGGATGATTGATCGCAGTGGCTTCTGGCCTGTTTTCCTTGTTTCCACGTTTCCATATGAATAAAAAAGGATATAAGGAAAGTTTTTTGAGTTCATTGATGTGTTTATTATCTTGATTGTGATGGCTTTGCGTGTGCACACATACACTTTTATACACTTTAAATATGTACAGTTTATTGTATGTTAGTTTTATCCTAAGAAACCTGTTAAAAACAAAATTTTTAAATCAGGCTTCTTTTCCTTCCAATAGCTTCCCTTTTCAGAATAAAAGCCTAAGCCCTTCTAATGCTTCAAGGCCTTGCATGGTCTCTCCAGCCATACTGGACCCCTTACTGTTTGTTCCACAGATAACACCAAGATGTACTTGCATTATCAAATGCTCAGATATCCAAATGACTCCTTTCTTCCTCCAGGTCTTTACTCTGTGAGGGCTTCTGTGATCACGTTAGATAAATCACAACCCCATCCTTTCACTTCTCCCCTTCCCTTTTTTTTTCTTTCTTAGCATTTCTTATTATTTAATATATATTGTCTTGTGTTTCACCTGCCTCCCCCACTAGAATATAAACTTTGTATGGCAGGGATTTTTTCCCCCCTTCTGTTTTGTCTGCAGCTCTATCTCCAGTGCCTGGTGCATGGTAGGTATTCAATCAAAATTTTCTGGATGAACAAATGAATAAATGTAGGTGGTGGTGATGATGGCCTAGATTAGATTTTATCAGTGGGAATGGAAAGAAAGGGCTGTATCGGAGACATTTCAAAGGGCAGCACAGGAGGGAGTGAATGAAGAGCTTGGGAGAGGAGCACATCCTCCAGCCTGCTGGACTTCAAGGTGGCTGCAGCAAAGGCGGGTGGAGCTGGCCAGAAGTTTAGGACAGAGGGGTTGGAACACAGCAAGTGTCAGAGCCAAGGATAGAGATCCAGAATTTCCTGAGTGGATATAATAGATGCGACTATTAGAATGGGTGAAACCTTGAGTAGATATAGAAAGAGGGAAAGCTGAAGTCCGAGCTCTGAGAATGCTCAGTCTTCAGTGGAAAAAGCAAAGTCGGTGGCGAAAAAACATAAGCATTGACTATGAAAGCCTAAGATATAGAATAAGACAATATTACAGAAACCAAATGAGATATTTCAAGAAATAGTTGGTAATCGACAGAGCAAAATATGTCAGAGAAATCCTCAATAATAGACCCTGGAGCTCTTTGAAAAAGAGTGTGGTGAAGCCAAGTTGTAGTGGGTTAAAAGAATAAATGATGAGGGGCGCCTGGCTGGCTCAGTCGGTAGAGCCTGCTACTCTTAATCTCGGGGTTGTGAGTTTGAGCCCCGTGTTGGGTGTAGATACTACTTTAAAATTAAAGTTAAAAGAATAAATGATGAGGAAGTAGAGGCAGTGGTTGTGCAGAGTACAAGGGAAAGGAAAACTACAATCTCTCTTGAAGAGTCAGGCAAATATTTTTGTCCAGGTAAAAGAGACCTAAGACAGTTGGGGTTAGGAAGGACTAAGCTAATGAGAGAAATGATGATACAGGAGTGGGGACCATCTCGTGGGAAAGACACTGCACATAAAGCAGGAAGGGACGGCACCAGAGCACAGGCTGGGAACATGCTTCTTCCTGTGAAGCTGCCAGCTTGAAGGCCTGAAAACTTGAAGGGTTGGGGACCACATGCACGTAGGCTATGGTGAGACAGATGCAAAGGAGTGTGTATAGGAGGTTGGGGTTCTGACCCCAGGGCCTCCATCTTAGATATAAACTAGCAGGAACCACCTTTTCCAGGGAATCAGGGGATCAGAGAGGTGGAGACAAGCAGAAGAATCCCTAGGACTGTGGCTGACAGAATTGGATACCCTTTGTTCTTGAAGTAGGGCACTCATTTCTTTTTTGGTAACTCCCCAGAAGATGTGTATACATTACTGGGTTTGTGACCATTCTCCTCCAAGGGTCAGTTGGGCAATCTCTGAGTGGCAGTGCCAACTGTGCTGACCTCAAAAGGCCGGATGAACAGTCAGCAGGTATACAGGTCTTCCTTCCTCACTGATTCAAGAAGGATTTATTCAGCTTGATTGGAGACACACTAGTGCCCACCCTTTCCTCAGAGGCCCACCCACTAGAGTGGGAAAAAAGACCAACAGATTCCTAACCTGTAGGCCAGTCCCCTTCCGGGTCTTTATTTACTTTGCTGTCTCCCTAGGCTCTCTGTTCTCATTCAGGGGATCCAGCCCAAGTGGTCTCTGGAGGTTTTCCCTGAACAGCAGAAGTTTCATGCCCCCTAGTAGCCCCACCTCTCTACTGCTGAGAAAGGGTGCTTGGGCTTCTGTGAGGGGCTAGGGGAGGTGATAATGTCTGTCTGTCCCACCAACCCAAGATAACAACACAGCTGCCAAACTGGCAGGAGCCCCCCTGCTCCCCTTTCAGAAGGGGCTATTGGCAGGGTCAGAAAGGGCTGGAGAAATTGGATAGTGGAAGTGGACAAGAATTTGTGGGAGGATGTCACATATTATTGATGCCAACTGCCTCCCTCCTCCATGGTTCACCCCCTTCAGACTGAGGCTTCTGGAAACACTGAGGGAGGGCCTGGTGGCTTTAGTCGGGAGAGTCCATTCCCTCCGTTCTTTATCTTCCTGCCCAGATGCCCAAATATCGTTCCCAGTTCCCTGGAGAGAAAAGACCCCTCACCCTGCCTCTGGCACAGGGCTGCAGCCCATCTGCTGGGGAGAAAGGAGGGGCAGTCTTTCCCAGGAGATCCTGGAGAACCAAGTGGAAGATCTGTGCTCCCAGGGAGACCCATCTACGAGACTTGGAAAGCATTTCGGCTTAGGCGGGTAACAGACTGTAGCTGAGCACCAGAGTGGGCTGGGGTCTAGGGGCTAGGGCTGACACAGCAGGGTGGGGTCCTTTGGCCACCACGTGTCCAAGGCAGGAGGAGCGGCTCATCCGTGCCCACCCGCCTCGGAATGGTAGCAACACCCCCCTCCCTGCGCCCAGTCTCACCGGCTCCGAGGCGCCAGGGCCCCCCCGGGGCCGGGGCGGGCCGGGGAAGGTAATGTAATTCCGACCCAGCTAACCCGATTATGGCGGCCTGCACCGGGCCGGGCGGCGGCGGGGGCGGGTCTAAGGCGCAGGGGCCCGCCGGGCCCGGGTCCCATCCCGGGAAGGACGCAGAGTTCACATACTCCCAGCTCCTGGGTCCCCGGCCAGAGGTCACAAGGTCACCGAGCCCTTCAGTCTTTCCCCACCTCCCATCCGTGACACACTCCAGGCACAGTTTCTGGGGTTGGGTGGGGTGAAGCGTCTGTGGGAAATGAGGCGGCTGACACCGCCGAAGGCTTCAGTGAAGACCCACGTGTCGCCTGTGGCGATTTTGTCCTCTCGCCCTTGAGGGGGGAAGTGTGTGAGAATTGACTTCCTAGGCGCAGAGTGGAGGGGCAGAGTCCCGCGTTGGTGGCCCCCTCTGGGGGGCGGAACGCCAGCTCCAAGCTCTCATCCGCCTGACTTAGCCCGGGTTGAGCCCGGGTAGAGCTTTACACCGATTTCAGAAAATCGAAATGCTAAGAAACACAGGGCATCAATTACTGGCGTTCCGGGAAGGAGGTAGGGGCCCTACGGCAGAAGCCAGGAGGTGCACCAGGATCGCTGGCCCAGGGTGGTTGCTCCCCGCCCTAGCCCACCAGACGCGCCCAGCCACCCCCTTCCCACACCTGTCCTCTTCCCGGGCCTCCAACTCGCCGGCGCCGTTCCCAACCGCTTCCCATCGCAGCCAGGAAGCCACAACGAGATTTGGTCTTCGAGGGCACTTAGGCGGAGGCCACAACGAATCTGGCAGTCGGCAGGCAGGACCCATCGCGAGGCGAAAAGTGGGGGCTGTGGGAGGAGGCACCTGCGAGGAAGCCGGTGAGGCCGAGGAAGCCCAAAGGCGGAGGCCGGCGAGGATAGAGTTGCTGTGCGCATCTCGCCTGACTCAGCGCGCAGCG